CAAGCGGCGCACTGTAGCAGTGCGCCACCGGGCCGGCCCAGAAAGTGGTTTCTTAGCATGGAATGTACTCCTGGTGAAGATGCTGTGAACATTGTTGAAATGACAACAAAAGATTTAGAATATTACATAAAATTTAGTTGATAAACAGTGTCAGTGTTTGAGAAGATTGACATCAATTTTGAAAGTAGTTCTACTGTGGATAAAATGATACAGAGTTATATGACACAGAGAAATCTTTTGTAAAAGAGTCAATTAAAATGGCAACTTAGCTGTTGTCTTATTTTACAAAACTGCCACAGCCACCCCAGCCTTCAGTAACAACCACCCTGATCATTCAGCAGCCATCAACATCAAGGCAAGACCCTCCACCAGATAAGATAACAACTTGCTGAAAGCTCAGATAATCATTAGCATTTTGTAGCAATAAAGTATTTTTTAAAATTAAGATTATGTACATTATATTTTTAGACATAATGCTATTACATACTAAACAGACTACAATAGAGTTTAACCATAAATTTTATATGTGCCATGAAACCAAAAAAAATATGTGATATTTGCTTTATTTCAGTGGTCTGGAACTGAACTCAAAATATCTCTGAGGAATATCTCTATGGTATCCACCAAAAGCTGACAAACTATGGCCTCTGGACCAAATCTGGTTAGGCACCTGTTATTTTTATTTGTTTTGTTTGTTTTGTTTTGTTTTGATTTTAATAATTGACATAAATATTATATAACATAAAATTCACCACTTAATTTAAGGTGTACGATTTATTGTCATTTAATACATTTGCAATGTTGTATCACTATCACCACTATCTAGATCCAGAGTATTTTTATCAACTCAAAAGGAAACCCTATACCCATTAGATAATTACTTAACATTCTTTTATTCTCAAGCCCTGGCAACCTGGCATTGTGTGTTGGAATAATTGTACAGCCTATTAGGTAGTGCAAAATAAAAATGATAATAATAATAAACAAAAGACATACCAAGTATTTTTGTCTTTTCACATGGCCAATTTGTTCTTATATAACAATTTTCTGATTTTTAAAAACTTAATTTTACTTCCCTAATTGCTCTTTTCACAAATATACGTAGAACTGTTTTAATTTCTAATTTTTTCATTTTTATCTAACATGGTATTGAGGTCTTTCTCTTGAGAGTCCTCATAAGCTAAGATAGCCACTCCCTTAAGAATCTGTATGGGGTGGAGGATAGGAGGAGGCAGGAAGGTTGGGTTCAGGTGTATGTGTCAGGTAAGGCAATGAAATAGTGGAACTAAAATGCATAAAGTAGAAGAAATTTATTGCTCACAGGTCCAGAGATATTAGGAATGACAACAGAAAATAAATGGGAAGCCTGGAGGTGGCATGGAACTTAACAAGCAATTTAGAAGAAAGAGAGAGAGGAAGTCTGTCAGACCTTGCCTTTATGAAAGTCCATGAGCATATCCCTTAGGCTTTCCTGTGGGCATTTTGCCATTATTAATTTAAAGAGAATGCTTGTGAAGGGAAGAAATAATTTACATGACTCTGATGTCGACCACGAGGTTATATCATGGTCAGCAGCATGGGGTGTGTTGAGTTTCTTTGGGAACAAGTGAACTATATAACAAACAACCACAGGAGGAGGGAACATTTTAACAAAGCCAAAGGTGACAGGGAATGACTAGGTTTTAAACAATTTATGCCAGGCCTAAAATTGAGTGTTTACCATGTTAAACAAATTTATAACAAGAGTGTAGAGAGAAATTTTAGAAGAAAACCCAGCCACTTCCTGAATGGCAGTGTGA